CGCGTGATGTAGTAGTCAACTTGTCTCTCAGATTGTGCGCCATCGATTGTGCCTGCTTGGTTCATGCGATGTTGAGTGCCTTTCAAAAGAGGTACAGCCTGGGCCGGCAGAGAGTAAGATGATTCTGTCGAGGTCTCCAATGATTCTTTAGACGAATGGAAAATTTTGTTTTCCACATTCTTCATCCATTCCCAAACAAGAATCTCGTCTAGATCTGTTGGAAATTTCAAATCATCTTCCCCGGAGCGCTTCACATATTCTTTTGCCAGTTCGATACAGTCATTTGTCCATGATTTTTGGGTGAAGTATTTACTGCAAAAACCATAGACGTTAATGAAAACCGACCCGTACAGCTCTCTACGAAGCATCATTTTTAGATGAAGCATGGTTTGTTCCGTCCATTCGCGTGTTATCCCAGTCCGCCTGAACATCGATTTGGCTGCTGGGTTGTCTAACTTTTCTTCCTGGGCCTCGATTATCTTCTCAAGCGTGTCAACAAGTTCCAAAAGTGATATCCATACCTCAGTGTCGGAAGCATGATTTAGGATCAGCGTGGCCAGAGGTACAAATGGGTCCAAGTCAAATTGTGTTGACTTCATCCATTTACAAATTCTAGTGAGACGTGAATTAATATTATTGATATCTGAATCTATCAAGTATCCTTCGCTGAGGTAGTTCTTTAAAGAAACTACCAGGTTTTTGACTGGATAGTGACGTTTATTCATGTCGATGGGCTCCCCAAATAATGTATCGCAAGGTGTTTTGAAAAATGCAGTGTACAAAGCACGGAAAGGATCCATAATAGACTCTAATGGGTTGAAGGCCAGGTATTCTTCAATCGAAATGGTGAGAGACATGATGTTCTTCGGGTGATTGTTCGATTTTAAGAATATGATTAAATGCAATGGTTCAGCTGGAGAGTAGAATGCCAACGGATAAAAGGCTGAAGAAGAATAAACGACTTTATAGATTGGGCATCTCCCTCTTGGCTGTGTTTAGTGTCAATCATTCTAGGTATTAACCAATGAACTGTGCTAGCTTAAGCTTCTTCTAGGTCCAAAGTTTAATAAACTTACCATGATAACTCTCTTCACGGATCGGCTTTACAAGGATAGATTTAGTTTGGATGGTTTATATTTAGATCCCTAATCGAAATGATTCTATTTATGCGAGACGAAAGTGTTGCTGATAACCATAGATTGGCCCCAGGATCGACTAATGTAAAGGGTATTTTGTTGATGTGTGTCAAATTAGCCACGATGCCCGACAATATTCCATAATAAATGATAATTCACACGTATTATGTTCCGTGACCTGCATGTGGATCTAAAAGCTTACTGCTTTACATGAATCTCATTCGCCATGCGCATATCCACGGTGAAAACATGCGAATGTTATGGTTGTCAATTTATTATTTCCATCGAGTCGCGAGCGAATAGAAATTATATTTACGTCAAAGGTTAACGTCGGAGGTCCAAGCTAAACTTGGTTGGCATTTCTATTAGCGCTGAATTTACAATTCTCACCCTTTGAAACACTAGGGCTGAATACATTGGGCCAATGCTAAATTTAATTCGTCCTTAGGTCGGCTCGAGATCTGAGTTGTCAACTACTCGGCGCTATTGATTGCGAGAGATGTAGACCAATAATTCAATGTCCTGACGGGAAGACATCGTATTGGCTACTTTATCTAGATTTATATTTGATTTGGCTTGCAATAATTTACTAGGAAACACGTTGATACATGTGGTTCTGTAATATGCCCGCGATCAAATGTGGTTTCCTGATTTGTTGGACCTCTTTCTATCGAGATTTTTGGTTGGATGAGCATGGCACGAACCCCAAACAATCTTGGAGACCGTGGACAACTGATGATCACTCATTTGTGTGTGTGTGTTTTATTATACTACTTGAGTCTATGACTATCTAGCATATTGGGCTCCTCTCTGACCCAGGCCACACCTTGTACAGTGCTCCTATCCTCTTTTTTTGCTTGAAAGACCATTGATATGTTCCCCTTGATGAATAGCCATTCAGCTCAGTGTTCACCCGTGGAATTCGGCCACCCTTTCCACGGAACCTTCTACCCAAAAAAAAAAAAATGGTAGCAATGGAAACTGCGTGCGCAGGAAAAAGTCTCAAAAAACCTGCAGCCCCAGCTAGGCGAGGCCTAGACATCGGGACCACATGAGGTGCGCATATTCATCTATATCTCCCTTCTTTGTAACAGTCGAGGTCGACTTGATCCAATCCACCATCTCCGTATCGGGTGCTGGGTACACTCCGGAAACTCATCGGATAGCTTTTCCTCCGTGATCAAGGTTTGGTGATGAGTAGGGCTCCGACCCTACCATCTGATCTGATCGTAGTTAGCTTTGTGATAATGGTGATAGGGGAATGTGTTGAGAGATGAAGACAATACAGACCGCGGAAGTGATTGGGAATCCTCGTCGAAGTGAGAACTTTGTTACTCAATCTAGGCTCTGCAGACTCTACAGTGAGAGCTGGAGGTTCGTAGGGGTCACCATTGACAAGTGTTGAGAATATTCCCCCGCCATGAGATATGGTTAATCCAAGCAATCACTCATTTGAATTTGATTTCATTGAAACCGATCAGATAACCTATGGGTCCATGCAGGTGACTATCTTCATTATCTATAAAGGAGGAGACCAACTCGGAGAAAACCCCCTGATCCTGTCTTTTTATATTCCTTTCAATTTGTGTAGTTAACTTCAGGAATTGCAGTTAACACTATTCAGCTAGTGTGGATTCCGTCCTCTCCCCTTCCAGATCTAAATATTTTTTCCGACATTGCTATCTAGACTTCCTCCGCAAGTCGAAACATTTTTATCGATCCTTTGCTTAGTAAACACTGTGTGATTCTAGCCACAGTTTCTAGGCTGTTAATTATTACTTCAGATGTACTGTCTTTAGCTTTTCGAAGAAAGTCGCCTCTCTCACCTGCCCAGCGTAGATACGCTGACACTTTGTGCTGGACGTTTAGTGACGGATATCCAAATTGACAGCTTGGCTTTTCTACTCCGGTTACTTTTCTTCTATACAGATAAGAATTGAGCCTGATTTGCTCACCTCTTAGCTGAATGACGATACTGCTCAGGGCTGTCATCACTCGTTGGCATAAATAGTCATTGTAAAATTCGGATGATTTTATTTTCTCCTATATGAGTAGGTATATATATATATACATAACAATTAGACCTAGTTTCTATCATATTCTTCCAACTAACTATGCATATTCTCAACTAGAATTGTTGAGATTCGTCTTAACTCCAACTAGCGCATACCACTTTCAACTTCATGGTTACACGGCGAACTAAGAGCAACACCATAAGGAATTCTTATTACATCATGTACTAATTCAACAGATATTATGTTATCACAATAATAGTAATTATCCAGTATATACCTAACGGTATATATTGGCCTTAGGAGCTCTACCAGCCTCCACATTTTTTTTGCATCAGATTTTAATTGCGTATGCAGCTATCTAGCTATGCGAGGGATGGGGATCACGGCGCAGGGAAACGTTACCCATAATTATTATTTCATCATTTTCTAATGCCCTTCACGGGCCGGTCATGTAGGCAGATTTGGAAGCTAAGGGTTCTAATAGTTGTGTCACGCCCAATGGGTAAAGAGATATTCTGACACGATAAAGGTATCAAATCAAATCAAATGATTAAAATACTTGGGATAGGCAAAGGCCATATGTTTACAAGGCCACTTACGCCGGCGAACATAAATTCTTCACCTTCCTGTGGTGGCGGTGTAATCGCTCAGTGTGCTTTGCATTTTTAGGATAACCAAGAAGAATCGCATCCGAATTAAAGTCGAAAGCAACCTCAAGCATATCTCCATTTGAAGACTTCTCGACAATGCCGTTCCTACCATTCTCATCTGAGTCCTCAAATTCTTTCTAACCACACAAAATCTCGCCTCAACGACCGATAAAGAAGCTGCTCCAATTGCAAGCAGGAGTTTGCTTCATTAATTTCCAGCCATCTCTCACTACATATTGACGACGCTACGTATACCCGCAAGGAAGAAATTAAGTCATAATATACAAAGCTTGGGTCTTGGTTTGTGTAGGACTGTTGCTCTAATGCTGGTATACATGTTGAGGAAGTGCAGGCGGCTGAGATGTGAAGCGATAGGGGGAATAGATCCCTGAAGAGCATGCAAGGCTGATATTATCGAGAGGCTTTCAACTTTAGAACGTTTGTGGGCGTCAAGACCGAGATTTCAGCTGGTTAGCTCGGAAGACTTCTTTTGTCGATGAGTCAACGGCACTCCCCAACTTCCTGGACGGCACAAAAGAAGGTGGGCTAAGCTACCAAACAGCGATCACGCTCTGTCAAGAATTTTCCGACATTTCAGCACGACCTTCGGGAAAGAGTTGGAAGGTGGCTAGAAAGGCAGATTGTAAATTCTCCGAGTTACACAAAAGTCTGCAGCGTCCTGCAAGCCGGGCTCTCTGAACGCTTCAAAAGGTTCACTATGTCTTCGGACTTAGTCCGAATGTCGGTATTAGGAGAGCTCCGCACCCAGTGGTTTTTGCGATTTTTCCCTGCTGCCATACACCCGCGAATGGCCATCGTTTCGTTGGCTGGAGAGGGGAGATAATGAAGGACAAAGGGCTCCTCTAAGTGTATGATCGGATGAGGATTTGTGAGGGGCGGTACTGTTTGAGGGGAGCTGTATGGGAGGCATAGGAGGGGATATACTACTGGCATATGTATCCTTGGCCCGTAGGCAGAGAGTACCTACAAGTCCTATATGGTCATATACTCAGATAGGAAAATTAAATGAATTAATGAAAATAAAAAACGCCGCCTGCAGTCTATTACTGCCTGATAACGCCTCGTAATGCGTCCCGTATTAACCCTTACCCGCTCCATATTTAGTTCATATTTTGTGGTCCTAAGATCTGATAACAGTTGTGAATGCGGACAGCTTCTCAGGATTTTTGTTAAACATCTCACCCAACGACAGATTTCATGCTTAGACTCTCCAGAAATCCAGCTAAGTCTTCTTTCTTCACTTCAACAACGCAATGCTCGAAGCTATCAATTCGAACTCGAGCATTTGTCTCATCGATTACTTCTTGAAATGCATTTCCGAACTTATTTCGTCCGAACCCCCTTGAATGTTCTTTATCACTTTCCTCGTCCTCTGACTCTTCCGTCGTCGAGTCCGAAGATTCTGATGCCGAAGCTTCATCGTCAGTATCATTTCCGAGGGCTAGTATTTTTGCTTCTCTTCTCTGCTTTCGCACTTGTTCTTTTTCCTTTTGGCGGAGCTTCTGTGCATGAGCCTTGGCTTCTTGTTTTGCCTGCTTTTTCTCTGCAGACTGAAGATCTCCAAAGCCTATTATACCTCCCCCTCCTCCACCAGTACCAACAATACAATATACTCCACGTTTCTCATTCAAGCTTGCGACAACAAGCGGAGTCCCTCGTCCACCGTGGCCTAATTTCCCTCTCGTTTCTTTTTCTTGTTGTGAAATTGCCTCTCCGACCCACAATGCAAGTTTTGTTAATGCGGCAGGGTGGGTAAATAGCAAAATATCAGGACCATCTTTAACAATACACATTCGGAATGCTCGAAGGTGACGGATCTGGCTCTTCTCAATCAAAGACGTGCCAGTTCTGAGAATAGCTCGATGAAGGTGCTGGGCTATAGGGAGAGCAGCTTTAAGCTCCTCAATACTATTAGTTTGTCAGCTTCAAGAATGAATTTTTACTTGGTGAAGCTGGTTGCATACTTTTCAAGAGCATCATATGCATCCCAAAATCTTCCGACCCATTCTTCGGCCTCTAGTATACCATCCTCATCAGAAGAGCTGTTGGTTCCATGTTCTTCATTTGTCGTACTTTCTGATATTATGGTGGCTTTTTTCCCGACCTCAAGAATTGCACCAATGACGACGCCTACATCCTCGGCGTTTAGAGTCGCACGCCAGCCCCAGCTTCGAACAAACCCCCATCCTTCCTTACTGGTTCCTAGATCCTTACCATCTGAATCTGTAGGGGGAACCAGTTCATCTAAGCCATACATTTGAGAGTACTTGAGCAATTTTTTTCTAAGGCCTCGTTTTAACTCCATATCCATGTGTGTGTAACTTTGCTTGCACTGAACAAGGCTTACACCCATCTTTGCTAGTAGCTTGTGTAGTCTCTTACGGCCATTTTCTGACCAAACATGCAACCGGGCAGATAGATAAGGTGAATGAAGCATACTATCGTATAAACTCCAATGACGAATCAAAAGGAACCTAGGTTCAGGTGAAAGCCGGATACTAGTATCATTTGGGTTTCGAGCAGTGGTTGGAATGATACCGCTAGCTTCGGGAGAGGTATTTCGTTTTGAATTATGTGTAGACTCTGAAAGGTCCGGAGGATTAAGACGGCGAACTTCATCTCTTAATAGTTGCCGTATTCGTGTTCCACGTGTTCCAAGCCAGCCTTTTTGAGATGTTGATATATTTTGAGTCGTTACAGCGACGCCTACAGATGAACGACCATATAATTCCATGGAGGTCACCCCGACAATTGTTATCCATAGTAAATCATTAGTTTCCCGACCCAGTTCAGATGCAAGTGAGTACATGATGGAAGATATAGGCTCTGAGTATGAAGCACCGAGGCTATAATATTCCTGTAGGACGGATTCATACTTTCGACGAAGCTTGGTGAGCCGACGTCGTAATATTTGTATCGAGGGTTGTACGACAGTCTGAATAGGGCTCTGAAGAGCTGAATGATTTCTTTCACCTGGTGTGGGCTCGTCAGTCGATTCATGGTCACTAGGATTCTCGGTATTTGAAATTCGCTAAAATTTGTGAAAAGGTCAGAAATTATACTTCTCAAGCTAAGGCTGAGTACGTACCGGGTTTCTTTTAAATTTCTGGCGAGGCCTTTGATTCTCCTCTTCACTTCCTTCATTGTCGGATCGATCTGAGCCGAATTTCCGTTTTTTACCAGCTTGTGGAGCCTGTACCTCATCCTCATCCGCAATTTGAACCTCGCTGTCTTCATCCTCATAGTCATAATCATCTATCGGTGGCATATCAGCAATTGCAAGATAAGCCTCTTTTTCTGCACCAAGATCCTCGTCAATATCCCCATCGTCGAACACGATAATACCCCCATTTCCTGATTTATAGCTTGGCTGTATTTTTCCCCCATCTAAGCCTTGAGTTTTTTTATTTGATAGTGCATCAACACCCTGGGCTGGTGTTATTTGTGGTATGCCTCCAAATACGTTCGACAGATTCCATGGCCTTCGCGCGTCTATCACCCATATTTCCACCCCACCGTAAGATGTCTCTCCCTCAATATCAAATCTAAAGAGGGTTTCGAGGTCAACCAAGCCTCCAACTCCTAGACAAACCACAACACCTCCACTGCCACCTTGACTATGCATCATGGGCCGAATAATAGTCTCGCCGGCCTTTTTTAAATCATTGTAACCTGCGATAGGCTTAATTTTGTGAGGTATATAGTCGCGCTTTAATAAATGTGTCAAAATACGGCATCCGCATAGAGCGTCTGGTTCAAGTGCGACGAGAAGAATAACGGGCGGGGATAGAGGATGGTGTGTTCTCTGGAGTTGCACATAAAGTTTCGAGATTAATGGTCGCGGAAGATACATAGTTGCTTATCATTCGAATGATTCGAAGTCATGCTAATCTTCAGGAACAGCATGTATAAATCGGATTAAAATCTCGTTCGCCTTGACAGAAATGACCGGATTTATATGTGTATAAAGCAGATTGATAAGTCTTAGTTTTGGCTTATCATGATATCGGAAGCAAAGATTTAGATTCTGATAGGAATAAAATAATTTCTCTGTCACGGTAGTGTTTGATAGATGAATTGTTTCTTTGTAATTTGCTCTGTAAATGATTTGGTTATCAATTGCCAGCCATGAATACTAACAATACGCGGTTTTTCGAGACGCGTATTTTGGGCTTGGCAGATAATTATTGTTCATTAGTCACAACTTGCCTGCCCACCTCAACTCAAGGCAAGCATAAAAAATAGGTTCACACTGTCTATCAGTAAATGATTCACAGATATTGTAACTTTTAACTGCTATGCCTTCTTGACAGGTCCCACATACGCGTAACAATTTTTCAGTCATTGCTTTTTTTTTGTATCAAATTTGAATTACGAAATTCTGACATGCCCCAGGTTGCAGGTCTTCAAGTTCCTATCAAAAAAAGAACCTGTACAGCAGCCATTCAGCTATCGTTGTATGCAAAAGAGAATACCGAGATTCCTCATGTCAGCAGAAAATTCATTTCTGTAAGCTCAAGGAAAGGGGAAGAACAATTGTTGCCAGATTACAGCCTAATTCACAAGCCAAAATAACAAAGTGCATTTGTCAGTTTTCAACATTTAGTCTCAAAGACATGCAAAGCAGTTCTTGTAGAGAATAATTCGCCCCAGTCAGCTTGTGTTAGGTCCCGTCCCAGAGAGCCACAAAGATAGATGGATATGCCCCAGAGATTTCATATTGTATTAGTGAGGTTTACTATTTAGCTATTGTCATTTGCTAAGGTTGTACTTTTTGCCTAGTAGTTGTCGGCCTAAGGAGCCAAGAACAGTCGTAGATTCATTTTATTGTCCTGTCTGAGTCTATGACTATGTAGGACTTGTAGGTACTCTCTGCCTACGGGCCAAGGATACCTATGCCAGTAGTATATCCCCTCCTATGCCTCCAATGCCTCCCATACAGCTCCCCTCAAACAGTACCACCCCTCCCAAATCCTCATCCGATCATACACTAAGAGGAGCCCTTTGCCCTTCATTATCTCCCCTCTCCAGCCAACGAAACGATGGCCATTTGCGGGTGTATGGCAGCCGGGAAAAATCGCAAAAACTCCAGTCGTAGATTAAAGGGTAGCAAACCGAGATTCTGTTACCTAAGATCTTATGCTTTTAGGATGCACTTCCGAGCCCTTCTTCAACTTGATCACTTAGGTGTTACAGTTTTTGTTCAGCAGTGCCAACTACTGTGTGAAATTGTAAATACCGAGGCTGACCAAATGGATGGAATTCATGAGGAAGAAGCATACGTTAATGCAATTCCTTCCAAAAAACCATCATGGTCTCAACTCATTCTCCAAGGGGCGCTCGCCGCTGCCGACGCAGCCACGGCTTCCACTTCTTCAACCTTTAACTTCAGCCAAATTCAGAGGCCAGAAACCGATTCTCTACCTGATGCTTTTTCTACTGAAGCTCACGAGGATATCCATCATATTGGGGTCACTATGTTTCGGAATATATTGCTGAAGAAAAGGTACTCCCAACTTATCAACAAATTCCGGATAATTTGTGAGAACAAAAAGACAAAAGTGGTATCTCCTTTCAAATCTGATATGACAATCCCACTAGTTTAAAATTGGGAATCTAACTATAAGACTGGACAAGCTAGAGTCTATCAAGTTGGCCGGGAGGATGAATCAGTAATCAACCAAACCCTTGACAGACTTTATGAGCAATGAAGATTGGAATGGACAAAAAGACTGTTGTGACACGCTGATTATGGCAAGCAAGAACTCATGGTTTTAAAGGGAATAAAGCTTAAGATCAAAGCTCTGTCAACAAATTACATGTATAATGGGATTTAAGCGAATAGTAACAAAAATGTTGTCAGTGCTTCCGTAACGCCAAACCTCCGTAGGTATCATAATACAATGCCATATCTCTATATCAGATCACTAGTCACTTAACAAGGACAAACACCTTTCTCGTTCCCTATATTCCTGGCCTGGAAAGTTTCTTCAGCTAGTGAACAGAAGGGAAGAGTAGTTGTAGAAATCAGAGCCATGAACCACATTGCGGTCCCCGACGCCTACCCCATTCCATCATTGACAGATGTTCTCTCCCACATCGCCAGTTGTGGATTTATTTCAACTGTAGATTGTGCATCCTTTTTTTTAAAAATGAAGAGTTGCTAAACAAGATCGGCACAATTTCACAGTTTAATCACACCGTGGCCAGGAAACATGCAATTGTGCTGTAGTGGGATTCAGAAATACGACTGCTTTTGTACAGGAGATCATGGACAGAATTTTCAGAGATTTCAGGAAGTTTGCACAAACATATATCAATGACATTGTAGTAATTTCAAAAGTATTTGAGGAACACACTCAACATCTTTGCCTAGTCTTTGACAAACCTCTTCACCGTCAAATCTATTTAATTTCGAAAAAAAGCTTCCTAAATTATCCATCATTAAAGTTCCTCAGTCAACGTGTGGATGCCATAGAACTTGCGTCGGGTTCGGAAAAGCTCGCGGCTAACGCACGTCTTAGGTTTCCTAGAAATCTCAAGCAATTGGAATTCTACTTAGGCTTTACCTCGTGGCTTTGGCAGTTTATCCCAGACTACGCACAGCTTGCGGCTTAGCTCCAACAACGCAAAGTTCAACTTTATCAAGATTTAAGAGGAGCCAATATAATTGGAGGTCCTAAGTAACGCGGTGAAGTTGAAAAACAGCATTTTTTCAATCCAACCCAGCTGGAATAATATCATTCGAGAAGCTTCAGGCTGCTTTCCAGAGTCTCACACTTCTTGTTCACTTTGACCCAAATAAGCGGCTTTATGCAGATCTTGATGCATCGTGCCAGGGAATTGGCGCCATGGTTTATGTTGGACAATTTGAAAATTTTGGCACATGATAGAGACATCTAAGCTACCAACTGTAATCTACATGGACCGTGGAGCTCTAACCTGCTCATGCGGAGAAGAAAAGTCCCCCAACCACTTTTTCTATAGCCTCCTCCGAATTCCACGGGTAAACACTGAGCTGAATGGCTATTCATCGAGGGGAATATATCAATGATCTTTAAAGTAGAAAAAGAGGATAGGAGCACTGTACAAGGTGTGGCCTGGGTCAGAGAGGAGCCCAATGTGCTAGATAGTCATAGACTCAAGTAGCATAATAAACACACACACACACACACAATTCTTTGAAATTCGAATTTTCGAATATTCACCCTTTCCCCCTCTCCCTCTCGATATCGTGATATCGTACGCCCTTAATTCAAAATTTGTGAGCGACTGGCAGGCTACCAATATGCCCCCAGTTCGCAGTAAGCCATCGCGGGCGAAAGACATCGTAGATAACCGCAAGCACCTCAAACACGTTGCTCGACAGAAAGCAAGCGTCAAGTTGGGCCCACTGACTGCCGTTCAAGAGATGAACATCGACCAATTAATCGACGAAAGTACCATAGATTGCGATATGATAGATGTTGGCAACTTTGACATTGACAAGATTCTTAAGAATCTGAAAAGACTACCTAACTCAATTCACTCCAAGCCAGATGCGACCGGAGCTGAAAATGCAGCGACGAGTCGCAACAATTTAGGGACAGCGACTACCGGACAGCATACACTTCCTCTCATTGAAGTCGCTGTGCCAGCTATGAGACGGGCTGCGATTGCAGATGCTAACAAGTCAAAAGGTGCAGCATCTACCCCAAACCCCCTGGAACATATACCAGGAACCACAGAAGAGAATCATTCTCCTCACAGTGGAAATGAAGGCAGGCAGACGGAGGAATGCCCCCCCGAACTCAGAGCCTTGATTGAGGCTGAGGAACGCCGGGCCGCAAAAACTGCGGAAAATGTAAAAATTTGCACCGCTGCAATAAACGGTGTCGAGAATGCTCTGTCCCCCCTATCCAAAGGGTCGAGTGTTCAATTTATAGACTCTATGAAAGTCTACATTAGAGCTGCAATAGCTCAATTTATGATTGCGGGACCAGGTACAGTCCTCCCATCACTTCCCCCACGCCCCGAAAGCCAGGCTACTGGCAGCAAGATTATAGAACGTGCTGCCAAAAAGCAGGATGAGCCACAAAGTAAAGTGACTCATGACAAAGTCTCCCAGGCCAAAACCACTTGGGCGTCAATCACCCGCACCGGTATAAAGACTCCCCCGGCAGCTACAAAAGTCGCACAGGCTATGCCAAAGGCGGCAAACTCGACGCGGCCGTCAAAAAACCCGACCACCCCAACGCAATCAGCCATGAAAGATGAACGCTTGTTTCTTCGCCTTGGAAATGAACACCCTTGGAGAAAGCTATCACCGTTTGGTGTTAGAGAGGCTGTGGCAAAAGTGCTTGAAATTCCTCAAGCCAATATTGAGCACGTATACCGTGTTCCAACTGGCTTCGCAATTAGAGCCGAAAACCAAGAGGCACGCGCCATCATATTAAGCCTAGCTGGGTCCCTCATCCAGTAAGATGCCATACTGGAAGAAGCATCGGACCTGGGCTCACTTAGAATCGCAACAGTCCCAGTTGCCATTAATACAATAATGGGCAGAGTAATCGTCACTGAAGAGATGGTAACAGACGAGATAGTCAGGGTCACCAAGGCTGTTCCGGTAAAAGTTCGCCCACATGGGAAAAGCCGACTTGGAGCCCCATACCAGTCATGGGTAGCCCTTTTCGAAAAATCATCGATCCCTCGGCCAGGCTTCCGACTTTTCGACGACTCTGGGATTGCAGTCCGCTACCAGCCTCGTCAAAGCATCAACCAGTGCAAAAGATGCCTACAATTCCATGGCACCAGAGGCTGCTCGCGCGCCCCAGCCTGCTGGAATTGTACTTCAACTATGCATTCCATCGCGGAGTGCAAGGCACACACCAAGTGCCGCAACTGTGGAGGTCCACACAGGTCAGATAGTCGGGACTGTCTAGCTCGTCCAACAAAGTCTGGAATGGCCTCCAGAGAAAACCTTCAGACCATAAGGCAGGCTAGCCAACGCGAATTCGCAGCAGTCACTCGGGCCAAAGCAGCTGTCAAACGCGCAGAGGCAGCGATGACAGCAGCCGCAGAAGCGTCAAACACTAACCAGCCAGGTTTCAAATCGACCAACTGTTTTGAAGTTCTCATGTCCGACGCTACAGCGACTGCAGCCGAGGTCGATGAGGCATCAAATCAGCAAAAATCTTTGTGAAGGGCACCCCACGGGTCTCTTCGAGTCTCTCTCCTACTCTAAGCTTTATGTCGATAAACGTAGGTAGAGGGGGCTCAACGCAAAATATTGCGCTTGCCCGAGCATTTGAGCTGGGTATCGACGTGGTTCTTGTTCAAGAACCTCTATGGAATAAACAAAAGAACACAACAAAGGATCACCCAGGATATACCTATCATCTGCCTAACGGCGGCGAAAATGTTAGGCCGAGAGCTTTGACCTATACCCAGATAGACAATAAAAAGATATCGGCATCACAGATCTTTCCTTATGTTGTGTCTACAGGAGACTATTGCTGGGTTGAAGTGAACGGCATTACTTTTCTCAACGTCTACAAGGCACCCAATAACTCGACAGCTATACAGCCTCTCATCAACTGGATTCCACCGCCAAACTCCATCGCTGCTGGGGACTTTAACTCGGTATATTGGGCTTGGCAACCTGGCGTGGAGTGTGAGTGTTTGTGTTTATTGTGCTACTTGAGTCTGTGACTATCTAGCACATTGGGCTCCTCTCTGACCCAGGCCACACCTTGTACAGTGCTCCTATCCTCTTTTGTTACTTGAAAGATCATTGATATATTCCCCTTGATGAATAGCCATTCAGCTCAGTGTTCACCCGTGGAATTCGGCCACCCTTTCCACGGAACCTTCTACCCCAAAAAAAAAGGTAGCAATGGAATCTGCGTGCGCGGGAAACAGTCTCAAAAAAAAACCTGCAGCCCCAGCCAGGCGAGGCCTAGACACCGGGACCACATGAGGTGCGCATATTCATCTATATCTCCCTTCTTTGTAACAGTCGAGACCGACTTGATCCAATCCACCATCTCCGTATCGGGTGCTGGGTACACTCCGGAAACTCATCGGATAGCTTTTCCTCCGTGATCAAGGGTTGGTGATGAGTAGGGCTCTGTCAGGTAACTGGGAGCCTGACCTGTGACAGGCGAAGTGTATGTAATTAAGGTAAAAGATAACTCAGTAAAAACAACTTGATTTCTATTTCTCCCGGAATTCTAGGACAATATACACTGATCATGATTGACTTGATCTCTTGATCTCTAAATATAGACATGCGCTAGAAATAGAATAACCTGCAGTTCTAAATACAGAATTGAAGCACTGACCGAAACAAATAACCCACGTATGTATGGACAGTCCCTATTTTTGACCTGAGACATTTCTTTGTCCAACTTCTTCGGTGGTTATTCTTGGCCGTTGACAGGCTCCGACCCTATCATCTGATCTGATCGTGGTTAGCTTCATGATAATGGTGATAGGGGAATGTGTTGAGAGATGAAGACGATACAGACCGCGAAAACGATTGGGAATCCTCATCGAAGTGAGGACTTTGTTACTCAATCTCGGCTCTGCAGACTCTACAGTGAGAGCTGGAGGTTCGTAGGGGACA